GTAGGTGAGGAAGAATCCCAACCCAAGTCCGAGCGCGCTGAGGGCCAAGAACGGCCTGCGTCCGTACTTGTCGCTCATGGAGGCGTGGAACTTGACCGTCAGGAGGGTGAAGGAGGCGTCCGTGGAGGAAAGGAGGCCGTACAGCGTTGCCGAAGCCGCGGTCACCTGTTGTTGTTGTTGTTGTTGTCACAAAGAGAGTGATCGAAAACAAGCAGAAGGACAGAATGACTCGGTGTTTTTGTGATGGTTGGGGTCGGTCATGAATCGGCCCGTGTAAAGCATCATGGTAGCGTCTCCGAGAAAGTGCATGGCTAGGTTGAACAAAAGAACTACAAATGACGACCGAAAGTGTTTGCAGTACAACGCATGCATAGACATTGTTGACAAGAGTATAGTGGTGTTGCTTGGTCTTTTGCTACAAATGTAGAACAGGCAGCATGGACCGGCCGAGCAACGTCAATGTATCCATGTCATGCGACCAAACGTACCACTCTCGTAAAATCGAGGCATCACCATAGGAAAGTAGCGCACGTCATGTTGACTTCAGTCACCCAGAAATGAAGAAACGCCACAAAGAGAGGCGGGCAAAGCCAGACCAAACAGCAGTACACAGGAATGGACCATTTGAATTAGCACTTCGAAATGCAACGCACCAGAACAAACCACACACTTTTGTCTCTCATACTAAAGACCTACCAGCAGACTAGACACACACACAGCAGCGCTACGCGCTGCAGCTCTGTCCGACACGCACCGCGTTGGAGCCCGTGATGAGCTCGTTAACGACCTTCGGAAGCACCGGGATGGTAAAGGCCATAGCCAGGAAGTATAGGAAAGCAGAGAACATCGGCCAGCTGATGCATCGCGATCACGGTCGTTGACGTTTGATGTGAATATCGGTTCGGTTGGGGGCAACGCATCGAGGGATGGGAGGGCATGATGACATCGGTCTATGCATCGAGCTATGGTCGATAGCGTGTCGAAAAGGCTAGCTGTCCCAGAACTCGACGACGGATCGAACTCGCGCTCACATACGGGGGAGCCCGGTCGATATTGTAGCAAGCGTGTTCGCGTTTCCTTGTCCCGCAACTAAGACTGACGTCCTTTCATGGGGCCACAGACTAGTGAGGTCAACCCTATTGCTTACAAGACAAGAGCACACAAGCGATGTCACGGGCAGACTTCACAACACACGATAGCTGGCATGGACATCCCTTGGCAGGGCAAATCGGTCTACGGTTCGCGCGCGTGTTGAGCACATTACAGTCACACGTCGTGGTCATCACTGCCGCAGTCAGGCGAAAACCTACGCAGCAGCTATGGCAACATCCTACCATACGCGCCGGGTCCAAGCGGTTGTATTGCCCCGCAGCCTTGGGTGTACATTTCTTCTCTCCCGTTGGCTACATCCGGTAGACCCCTCGACTACCACGTGCTGTTACGTGTCGTGCTACAGTACTACTAAGGGTTTCACCGCTTCCGTCGCAGCCCTACACAGCTGAAACTATCGTCAATATCAGGTGGCACGTCATGACCTACTGCCGCACGATTGTGTGCCAGACAGGGTATCCTTATGGACACGTTCTACGGCACCCCATCATCTCCAGGCCGGATCTAGCCGACTCTTAAAACAGGGCACCCCTTGGCACAGCTGCCACCCTCGTACAGAGGTACGGCATACGGGAGTCAAGCATTTCTCGCTACATACCAGAATATACACCCTGCGTCGCCCCCTTGGACAAATAACCCAGTTTGGACGTGTCATTTATAGATCTGCACCATGGAAGGGTTCCGTCTGCCGTGTGAGTTCAACCGGTACGGATGATAAGAAGGTTTACCGAGCAGAGACCGGAACGGCTTACAAAGACAAGGCAACAGCAACAACAACAACAGCAACAACAACAGCACTAACAACAACAGCAGCAACAACAACAACAACAAAACAACCAATTCCGTATGCCGTTTGACACAGCTGTGTGTGACAAACCGCGCACCCCTTACCTTGGGCTGACGCCGGTGCTTTTCCTGGTGGCGTTCTGCACGACGCTCATGGTCGCCTGCGAGACCGCGACCCTCTTCTCCTTCGCCGCCCTCGCCGCCGTCGCCTTCTTCTCCTTCAGCACCCTCTCCGCCGCGGCCTTCTTATCCTTGAGAGCCCTCGCCGCCGCCGTCTTCCTGTCCTGAAGCGCCTTCGCTGCCTTCTTCTTCTTGGCCGCCGCGTTCACCCCCGCCCCCGCCGCCGACGTTTCGTTCGGCGCCGCCGCCGCCGCCGCCGCCACTCCCTTCTTCCCCATGCTCGCGACCCCCGGCTCGGCGTCCTTCTGGCTGGCCGCGCCGGGGGTCGCGCCGCCGCCGGACGCGGCGGCG